GGCGCATTCACCATTTGGTCAAAATCTCCCTTTTTCCTCAGTATTAAGAATATTAGAGATTAAAATTTTTGAAGTGTTACTATTACTTTATTACCTAGTTTAGTACTAGAAGCTATAAAAAAACTTACCATTGAAAAGCTTCCTTGGTTTATTTAAACGTAAAAAAACATTTAACTGAAGTTTTTTTATTTTCTCCAGCATTTTTCGCACAGTTGACACAGCAGTTGACATTTATTTATACTTAAGATCTATTCGCCTATCCTCAATGGCTACAAATTTGTCTATAACATCGTCGTAAAATTTTGGATTTTCTGATAACTGTTTAACAAGCTGTTTTTCAATGGATATTAGGGTTAAATTAGAGAGTCTGTCTTCACTTATTGAATTTCGTATAAAACTTTTAATGCGCTTTAAAGCTGAAAAACTTCGCTCAACTGACGCACTTGTGGCTAGGATGGTTAGTACTAATTCACACAACTTGACGACTTCACAAAAGGACTTATTTAAACCAGTTATTATAAGAAAATTTAACACATTGATGGGCGTCTTTTTATCACTAATTTCAGTTGTTTCATAAACAACACTTAACTGGAACTTTAATGCTGAAATATCGAAAAAATGTCCATAATTTAATTTTAGTGAATTAAAAGCTTCCGATGGAAATTTTGATGAATCGTAGTCACTAATACTAAAATTGCACAATTCAACAAATTTTAATTCGTTAAAGTTTTGAAATCGAGAGTTTATTTGTTGTAGAATATTATCAAAAATTTCGGCGTATAATCGACGATAGGAGATCTCTCTGTCGCCGACATTATCAATTCTAATTCTCTTTCTTTCAGGTTCTAAGCCAATGTTTTTAGTCTTATTCCAAAAGTGTTCAAACGAATCTCGTTTTTTTATTCATCCTATTTTTAAAATCATCAATTTGTTTAATGCAAAAGCCAATGTCATTTGACTTTGTAAAATGTCGAATAAAATGTCAGTAAAAGGAAAAATATCTGCAAAACTGTTAAGCAAAAAATTTAAATCAAAGTTTTGTTTGAGCCAAAGCAAATACCCTTTAGCAGTAGTAACAGTTTCAGCATCCCATGTTTCTTTATTATCCCAAACGTCTTGAAAAAAGTTTATCAAAGAATCACGGTATTGAAGGTACCTCGGAAAGTCGTCGAATCAATAAAATGATTTTTTAGGGTATTATCGTTTTTTGCTAAAAAAACTTAGAAGGTCCATGTAATATTCTCGATTGGCGGATCCACTTGCTTCATTGTGACCCCTAAAACTTAGTTCATGCTCTCCCAGCAGGAAACAAGTTACATCTATTAATCGTTGTAAGACGTCCTTATTTTTTTTACCCATTCATTGTGAATTTTGTTGCTTATTTTTAAATGATTGTCCAAATTATGTTCAATGCGATAGGTCCCGAATGTTTTTTCTTTAATTGTAGCACTTATATGAGATTGGCTATTTACATGTCGTTTTACACTTTTGTGAAAATTATTCAAGTCTGTAATACCTGAGTTCCAATGTGTTTTTTTGACTATATTAAAAAGTAGGCAAGGCCAACAAAACAATTTCTTCAAAGTTTTGCAGCCGGTTAACCATTCACACTTTTCATAGAACCCTACGTGAAAATTCTTCGTAAATTTCTTTGTTGATTTTTCTACTTTCGTCTTTAAATTGAAAGGATCATTTAGTCTATTAGAATTAATAATGTCTGTTTTCCCTTCAAAATTTCTACTTGAAAATCCTTTTTTTAATAAAGAGCACACAATACAGACACAATTTACCACATTATTATTTTTCTCCTTCCATTTTACAAAAAGAAAAACAACTACGAAAAACAAACCGAAATCTACCTAAAATCTAAGATTTTCCTCTCACGTCGATTCGTGGTGCTAATTTCAATAAGCGTAAGGCGACGTAATAATCGCTGCCTCTCGACCGTTTAAAGGAAGCAGCCAGGTGTCACACCAGTTTGAAATGGTTTCAAGGTCTTTTTGTAGCTGGGTAGAATCTGTCACAGGATTAGAGTATAGCTTAGTGTCATCAGCATAACACGAAATATTAGAATTTAAGTCTTTGCCTAGATCTGCGGCGTATACCAAGAATAGTAATGACCCTATGACAGAGCCTTGAGGGACACCACTTAGGACTGGATACTCTGACGAGAACATCTGCCCAACTTTTACCTTGAAGATGCGATTTGACAAAAAATCACTTATCCAGAGAAGTAAAGAGCCGCAAATGCCAGCTTTTTCCAACTTATAAAGCAATCTCTTTTTGGGAACGCGGTCAAAGGCTTTAGCGAAATCAAGATATACGACATCGACAGGCTCTTTATTGTCCACAGACGTAGTCCAATCGTTTAAACAGGTCATCAGGTTTGTTAATGTAGATCGGCCTTTAATAAAACCGTGTTGTTCTCTTGGCAAGACGTCATGGCTCTTGAGAAATTCAGACATATAATTGGTTAAGATGGATTCCATTATTTTACAGGCAATTGGGACGAGGATTATTAGACGATAGTTGGATGGACTGAGTTTGTCACCCTTTTTAAAAATAGGTGTCACCGAAGTAATTTTCCACATTGAAGGAAGTGTGTGAGATGTAAAGGAAGATGTCATAATAATGGATAGGGGTAAAGCCAAATAAGATGCGCATTCTTTTAAAAGCATTGCGGATAAATTGTCAATTCCAGGTGAGGAATTTGATTGAATTTTTTTTAGATTTTCATTAACAATTGCAGGTGAGTACTCGACATTACATAAAGAGGTTGCTGTTCGGGCATCGTGACTAACTGGGATGTCGCCAGTGGGTTCTAAGGAATACACTTGTGAAAAATGGTTGGCCAGAGCTTCAGCTGTTTCTTGATCATTATTACATAAGTTTCCATCTGTTTTTTTAAGAAGCGGTATTGATACTTTGGAAGATAGAGAGCTTCTTATGTGTTTAAATAGCTTCTTAGGGTTATCGCTACTAGCGATATATTCTTCGTATTCTCTTCTTGCGTTATCAATAACATTGATTAAATCATTTGCGAAACGTCGATGGTTAACAAAATCATCATGTCTTTTGGTTGCTTTAAATTTTTTCCACATATTTTTCTTATGTTTTATTAAAGTTAAAAGTTGTCCATTGATCCAGGGTTTTAATTTGTTCTGAGGACATTTTTTATTTTTTGTGTTAGCCTTCACAATTTCAGATATCTTTGTATGAAATAGTGTCCACATATCTTCTACTAATACAGTACTTCTAAAAAAGTGATTCCAATCAATTTCGGAGAGGACTATCTTTACGTTATTAAAGTTTGTGACACTATAAGTTACGTCCCTATCGGGATTAGGGGTTTCTATGTTAAATTGCATATTAAATATAATAACGCCATGGTCAGATTTCCTAATAGGTGAGTGGATAGATGGAGAAATTAGAAGTTGGTCATCATTTGTTAATATAAGGTCTAGAGTTGAAGGTTCTTGATTTAACCGAAAGCGGGTAGGTTCGTTCATAAGTTGTTTAAGATTGGAGAATAAAATTTATAAAGTGTGAAACAGAGTTTTGTAATACTTCAAGACCTGCAGTAAAGGGCCAGGAAATTTCTGGATAGTTGAAATCCCCAACCACCACAAGATTGTCATGGGAAATAGATAGGTCTGAAAGTACCTCAAAAAGATGTTGGTCTTTTTCTAGAGAAGTTTTCTTTGGAGGACGATATAAACATACTAGAGTGGTTGAGAAAGATTTGTAGGATAGTTTTAATGAAATTAAATCTATATTGGGAATGTTGATATCTAAGGTGGTGACAGAGTAAGTTGAAGTGATGGATGACGCTAAGTAGATGCAGGCCCCTCCACCAACATTATTTGCGCGGTCGCTTCTGTAAATTGTAAATCCAGGAATGTTAATAAGTGAATCGGGAATAGACAACTTGAGCCAAGTTTCAGAAATAAGAATAATGCTGGGAAAAAAATTGTTGAACTGAGCACAAAAAACCATTGAATTTAGCAGTTAGAGAATCCAGGTTAGTATACATACGGGTCCAATCGTTAAATTGTGGAGGTTGTCGGCTAGCGGGATTGAAAGGGATTTGTCTCCACAATTTTTGGAATACCGTTATGATATTTAATTGTTAGGTTATTTTCGCTATTCCGTTTTTTAGCTTCTAATTCATCTCTTAAGTTTTGAAGAATCTGTTGTTGGGTAGGGGTTTTGTCGTCGATAATGGTAATGTTTTTCAATGTTGCTATTTCTAAGACTTGCTTTTTGTTTCGTTCGGAGGGCATAATTACTTTGAGCCATAAGTTTTTTATAAATTAACGTTGTTACAACTCTAGTTAAATATTACTCAATAACTTTTAACAAAAACGTCGTACTATTAGTTTCTACACTATTAAGTTGTATATCAGTTTTAAAAATTTAAGTTTTTTAACGTGTCGTTTACGTGTGTTTTGTAACGTTTTAATCAATTGTATCAACATTTTATAACTTTGTGTGTTACTTGGGCGTATTTGTGAAATTCACTTTATCACCCTGTAATATAGAAGTCCCTCAGTTTACGGTACTTTATTCTGAAATACCTTGTATAATGAAACAAAAAACCCATATGATGCGGACTTTAACAGTATCTATATTTAAAAAAAAAGTCTTTTAGGGGGCCTTCTGATTTCTGAAAGTGATTAATTATGCAGTCCCAGAAGAAAAAGGAATGTAAAATAATTATAATTTTAAATGACCTTTTTTGAAATTTCTTACAATAAGAGAATACAAACAACTCGAGAAAATGTTCAAGCATCAACCTCCGTAACATCCTGCTGTAATTTTAAATTGTAATATTTAGGTACTCATAACACGTTCTTTCCTTCTTTCCTCTTGAGATATTTACAAATATAATAAACTAAATCGTAACATTAAATTAGAGTCCGATCTTGGACTTATCTGCTGTTACGTATAAACAATTTATATGTTCTCTAATCGCATAAGGCGTAAGAATACCCACCTACCTGGGGCTGTTAGTATACCTGGACCAAAAACTTCAGTTAACACATCATAAATAAAGGCCTTCTCAGTTGCCTTAGGGTCAGTAAATAATTTTTTAATGTATTCGGGATCAGATAAAGCAAATAATACGTTATTTGGTCCCAACCAAATTTTAAAGATCTTCGGGTATTGACAATGCAGCTTCTCCATTCTCTTCATATAACCTGCAACACGAACATATTGATATATACAGGGTGTAACTAAATAAGTGTAAAACATTTAAGGGGGTGATTCCTCATCGAAAAAAAGATAGGATCTTTCATATAAAGAAACTTCATTGGAGCATCCCTTGTTAAGATACAGCCCCTTAAAGGGGGGTACATAAAATTTGTTTAACAATTTTTTTCACAAGCACTAAACAAGTTACAATATTGAAATTAACCTGACATTTTCTACTACCAAAAAGACACTTAGCCAGTAATTTATTTGGTTTACCCCATGGTTATAAAGGGTGGAAAATGCAACCCCTAAAATTTCGTTCCAACGTAACTTTTTGTCTTATTATTTGTTTCCCATTTAACAATTTATTTCCGATAGCCTGTTTCATTCTAAACAAAAAATATTTCTTGAATTTTTTGCCCAAAATAAACCAGTTCGCAGCAAAACATTATTTTACGAACAAGATAGATATCGCCATAATACGAAAATACGATACTAATTGGTTTTCGTGTCTTTTTTTGTAATATCCGGCTTCTAGAATTTTATTGAGTTGACTTCATCATTCGCGATTTGAATTTTGGAGTGCAAAGTCGTATTGTGCTGGCCAAAGTTTTTTTTTTTCGTTTAGTTAAGGATCCAGGTAAAGGCTAATACTAACATTTCCTTTGTCAAATTAACCCTTCTCTTTCTATAATTTAAAAAGAAATTGTTTTCTCTTGGTTTTCTTTAATATAATATAATTAAATTTAAAAAAAAAAAAAATAGTAAAGTAAAAGGTAGTTAGATGGGAGATAACTCAGGGGGGTCGGGCCCCCCTAGTGAAATGAGTTTGATTAATAGTGATAGCAATCTTGATATTTCAGATGTGGATATGGATGGCTCAAAGCCGGCAATTGTTGATAATGTAAATAATCATGTAGAAAATGAGGTTGTAAAAAATGTCACAAAAAATTCTGACAAAAAACGTCTAAATAGAGATAATTATACATACCTAGATAAAGGCCCATATGAAGTATACATTGAAGCCACTCTTGATAATAAAAATATAGGTAATTATAATTATTTAGCTATTGCTCGTGAACTTTATGACCTCCAGGTAAATAATATTAAAAAGATAAATAAAAAAGGGAAAAATAGAATTGGGGTAGTATTTTCGGGTTTTAAAGAGGCAAATAATTTTTTAAGTAATGAGGAATTAAAAGCAAAAGGGTATGCTCTGTTCATCCCTTCAAAAAATGTGTCATGTAAGGGTATAGTTAAATTTATTGATAAATCATTCTCTGATATGTTGCTTAGATATTCTGAAACTGATACTGCTAACATCAAAGTAAGTGAAGTTATGAGATTTATGAGGAAGGTCAACCCGCAGGGAGGGGGTGATGGTGAACTGGGGGCGGACTCGGAGGTCAACTTGGTGCCGACGGGGACGGTTCGATTCACCTTTGCAGGTACCTACCTGCCTCGCAGTGTAAAAATATGCGGTATAGAACACAGGGTATTACCATACATTATGCCTGTTTTTCAATGTTATAATTGTTTAAATTATGGTCATATTAAAAAAATGTGCAAAACTAAGGCGATTAAATGTTTGAAATGTGGAGATGTCCATGAACAAGGGAAGTTTTGCATAATGAAGTGTGTGCATTGTAAGTCGCTTGAACATACGAGTACATATAAGATGTGTCCTGAACGTAAACGTCAAAACTTGATTAGAGAAGCCATGTCTTTAGATAATATCTCCTTTTTTGAAGCATCAGAAAAATTCCCCAGAATGTCAAATAATGATAATGAATTTTCACGTCACTCTAGGGATTTTCCTCCCTTACCAAGTATTGAGTCCCCAGAGGACAATATTATTCCCATCAGTAGTAGAAGGGCAACCCACGTACAACAAACCCCCTTAAGAAATTCCTTTTCTCAAGTTACTGGGAAAAAAAGGAAAGGTGAAAACCGAATTGGTTATGATGCAAAGGCTCATAATAAATATTTAATAAGCCCAAGTGGTAGATCACACTGTTCTACTGAGACATACTATATTCCCCCTTCAGTAGATGAAGAGGAGGTCTATTCATGTGGCTCAGGGAGAACCAACAGAAATGAGAGTGAATCTCATATGTTAAATGATATAATGAATATAGCTAGTAAATTAAACAAATATGATAGAGAACATGTTCTCAAGTTTATGGATCAGTTAGTTAGAATATCAGTTCCTGATGTTTTTAAATTAGGTAAGAACGTCTCAAATCAAGGGAAGTGACCTAGATAGAATAGGCTATAATGTTAATATTTCTTGTAATAATAATAGCAATAATAATAATAGTAATATGAATTTGAAAGGTAAAAATAATTTAGACTCTAATTTTACTAAACATAAATTAAAAATTTTCCAATGGAATATCCGAAGTTTAAAATCCAACTATGATCAGTTAAAGTATTTTCTAGAAGAAATTAATCCAGATGTCGTATTATTGAATGAAACTTGGCTAAATAACACATATTATTTTAAAATAAAAAACTATAGTACATATAGATGGATATGGGGGTATTATTACATTGATTAAAAATAAAATTGACCACCAGTTTATTAATGAAGTAAATTTTTTAACACCCATGCAGACATTGACAATAAAAATTAATTCATTGAATTTACATATAATTAATGTCTATAACCCATCAGGTAATAGAATTAATATCAATCAGTGGAATTCACTTTTAAATAATACACCAAAACCTTTTATTATAATGGGGGATATTAATGCCCATGATCAACTTTGGGGTTGTCACAATTGTGACTATAATGGTAAAATTATTAAAGAATCTCTGGTAGAGGAGGGTTTAATTATAATGAATGATGGGAGTCCAACAAGAGTTGGGCTACCGGGACAACATGAATCGGCAGTAGATCTAACTATAGTTACTAAGGAGCTAGGATTAGAATGTCTCTGGTATGTTCATAATGACTTGGGTGGTAGTGATCATTATCCAACTATATGTGAGATATTTAATAATAAGGATATGGTTTATACAGTTAGGAAAAGGAATTTTAAAAAATCAGATTGGAATGGCTTTAGTAAGGATATATAAGTTTCATTTAATTCGTTTAGTGGGGATTTGGACTATATAAATTGGTATGAGTTAGTAGACAGGTCAGCAGAAAAGTACATTCCTTATTTTAGCAACAATGGAAAATGTAAATACAATGTTTGGTGGGATAAGGAGTGTTCGGATTTAGTTGCTAGAAGAAGGCAGGCAATACAAAAATATAAATTGGAAATGAATACAGTAAATTATATTGAACTTAAAAGGGTTCAAGCTCTTGTTAAGCGAACATTTAAAATTAAAAAGAAAACATCTTTCAGAGAATTTTGTGGGACACTAAATAGAGATACTCCAATTAAAAAAGTTTGGAAAGTAGTTAAGCGCTTTAAGTCCTACATGACTAACAATAATATAAGCTTCCCAAATAAAGAAATTGCCCAAAATTTGCTGGAGTTACTAACTTACTGTGACATTGATCCGGAGTTTAACATAGTTAATAATAATATAGATGTAAATCCATTCTCCTTTAATGAGTTCTGTAATGTAGTAGAGGGAAGAAAAGATAGGGCTACTGGTAAAGATAATATATCTTTCTCGATATTAAATAATCTCCCTAAACGTGGCACAACTTAAATTACTGCAATATTATAATTATAGTCTGGAGACTGGTAGTGTTCCTGTACAATGGAAGGAGACTATTGTGGTTCCTATATTAAAAGAAGGTAAAGATCAGGGCTCATTTGAAAATTATAGACCAATTGCATTAACTTTATGTGTAGGTAAAATTTTGGAGAGTATGATTAAGATTCGCTTGGAATGGTTTTTAGAACATAATAAGATCCTTCCAAAATTTCAAATGGGTTTTAGAAGGGAAAGGGGATGTAGTGATGCAATTGCAATCTTGTCACACTCAGTATTAAAAGCTTTTAGTTCAAAAAATCATTTAATTGCAGTATTCATTGATCTTAAAGCGGCATATGATAATGTAGACATCCATATTCTTTATAGGAAAATGTTAGATCTTAATATCCCTTCATATTATACAAATGTAGTTTTCAATTTGCTATATAATAAGAGAATATATGTTAGGGATATGAATTATGAATTAACTGGTCCTGGGTTAAGTAGTAAAGGTCTGGCTCAAGGTTCACCATTGAGCCCCCTTCTATTTAGTATATATATATATATATATATATATATATATATTGAATTGTAGTCGTCCGTGGCATCCGTATAGATATGACCCTTGATGGCATCCGCCCAATATACACCATGTATACTGAGAAGAATTTAAAAATACTAATAGCGTCTTTCGTGAACTCTGTAAGTTTGACAACACTGCTCCGTTTGAAATTGCATGAAATGTTTCTAGTTTGTGTAAAATTCAGCCCCTTTTAGACCTTAAAACCACATGTGTTTATTTTACGGACGTTTAGTTGTACTTTGAATAAAGTCCCAAAAATAGATATTTGGGTATTGCTCGTATTTCTTTTACTTTAAATAAATAAAGTGCCTTGGTTTATTTGGTCATAAATTTTTATTTAATTTTTTATTTTATAGGCGACAGATATATTTTGGATAACATATTCTTTATCTTCTGGTTCAGTAAATTATTTTTAAAAACATAAGGAACTAAAACACATGTAATTTTTTAAAACAGTTAAAGCCCCATCTTTTGTTTTACAGCGTGTGGAGGTGTATTCGAAATAATATAATTTGATTTAACAAGATATATACAGTAGGAAAACAAAAACATGAGTGTTTACAAATTTAAAAAATATCAGTGGCGTTAAAATATAGAATAAAATTAAAAAGCATACAATTAGTTAGAATTAAAATAAACGTTAGATAAATATTTTATGTCTGTTTTAATATTTTTTTAATATGTATCATTTCAGGGATAGTTCTTTTGTTTTATTTGATTTATTTTCGAGAATCTGTACATTTTCAAAACCAAAAGAGTGCA